CCCCCAAGGCTAATGCTAGTGAATACAGCGGCTCAAAGCGTTTGACTGAGAGAGTAAGAGCGTGTGGAGGGAGGAAGGGCAGCATGACATGACAGCATGTCCTGTTTCCTGTGTTTGTCCACACTTATTATGCACTTCCTGCTGGCCGAGAAAAGCCATGGAAACTCACAGCTGGTTTAACTTAAAGGTAAAATTCAAAGTTTCCAAACGTACCTAAGAGTGTGAATTTCGCAACATGATATTAACAGCTTCTGTAAAAAGCGTATCTGTTAATGAGCTGTTAAGGTTAATTCCGGACCTGACTCAGAGAGGATTGGTAAATGGTATGGAAATCAAGGAGTTTTACACCATGTGTTACATAAATCAAAAAAAGAAAGAATTTATTCCATTTAACAACTGTATAGCAATACAATAAAAACACACCAAACTCTCAACATAGTAAAAAAAAAAAAAAAAAAATCTAAACACTCAGAAACTGTTCAGAAAAGCAACCACAACACACTAAAACAGTTTAAAACACCCTAGAAAAACTGCATAGCAACATCTTGGCAACCAGCCAGAATGCTTTGCAAACCACATAACAACATGCTCAAAACCACTTAGTACACTCTAGCAACTGCAACACACTATTTAAAACACTCTAGCAACTGCATAGCAACACACTATTTAAAACACACAAGAAACTGTATAGCAACATCTTGGTAACCACCCAGAATGCATAACATTCTAGAAACCACTCAGAACACTCTAGCAACTGCATAGCAACACCTTGGCATCCACCCAGAATGCATAGCATTCTGCATAGCATTCTGCATAGCAACATGCTAGAAACCAATCAGAATGCTTAGCAACAGATTAAAACACATGGAAACTACATAGCAACACTTTGGCCTATATGCATTCGGAGTGGTTGCCAAGGTGTTGCTATGCTACAACCCAGAAACCACCCAGACTGCATAGCAATCTATATCGCAACTTGCTCAAAACCTTTTGCAACACTCTACCAACTGCTTAGCAACACACTAAAACTATTTAAAACACTCTACAAACTGCATAGCAACACCTGGGCAACAAGCTAGAAACCACTCATAACACTCTAGCAACTGCTTAGCAACAGGCTAAAACGGTTTAAACACATGGAAACTGCATAGCAACACATTGGCAACGACCAGATTCTGAATGTCGCTATGCTTTCTGAGTAGTTGCCAATGTGTTGCTATGCTACAAACCAGAAACCACCCAGAATGCATAGCGTCACTCTTTCTTTAGAAAAAATATAAAAACCTTGTTTATGTTGCATTTATTTTCAAATGAGACGGCACTTCAAGTGCATATGGCTGAAGTAGCACTTATACAATACAATACAATACAACAGTGGCGAGCGGTGACTTTTTTAACCAGGTATGCTGAGTGATAAGACCCCCCCCCAAACCGGAATGCCAAATAGCTAAGAAAC